TTAGGGGAGAGTGAAGATTAAGGAGGGTAAGAGTGCCCACTTCATTTATTTAGAAAACTGTTGTAGACAAGACACATCTTCTATGTTGCTCCAGAGGCCAAGACTAAGAACCAAGACACATGGGGTTACACAGGAGGTCAGATTCCAGCCCCAAGAAAGAACTTTCTATCAACTGGTGTTGTTGGATATCATCTTGTTCATTTTGGGAAGTGCTGTCAAGTCACTTCCAACTCTTAGTGACTCTATTTAGAGTTTCTGAGGCTTTAAATCTTTCTGAGAGCAGAAAGCTTCCTCTTTCTCTAGTGGAGCAGTTGGCAGGCTCGAACCTTAGACCTTGAGGTTCACATTCCAGTGCTTATTGTATGGAGCCACCACACTCCCAGCTACCATCTAGTCAGCCTCAGTTCATGACATCCTATACCCAACAGTGTAGTGGTTACGAATTGGGCTGCAAACCTCAAGGTCAGCAGTTCGAAACTACCAGCTGTTCCGCGGGAGAAAGATGAGGCATTCTTCTCCCATAAAGATTTACAGCCTCGGAAACCCTGTACAGGGTCCCGATGAGTCGGAACCGACTCCACGGCACATAACCACAGCCATGCACAATAAAACAAAAATGATGCCTAGTCCTATGCCATCCCCACAGTTGGTTCCTATTGGTCCATTATGATCCATACAGTTTTCCTTGGATGATTTTCAGAAGCAGATCTCCAGTGCTTTCTTCTTAGATCATCTTAGTCTGGAAACTCTGCCAAAGCCCATCCGGCATAATAGTAACACCCAAGCCTCCACTGGCAGACATGGTGGCAGTTTATGGGGAGCACTGTTTATGCTGTGGAAAGATGCCTATCATTCAGATGCTTAGCCAAAGCCCTTTCATGATGGGGTGAGAGAGACAGGAGACATTTACTGAGCAGAAATTTAAGTCAATCTAAAAGGCCTGTAGGATCTTCTCCAGATGTGAGATCCCAAACTATTATGTTGATCATATGCCTACTACAGTGCACTTGTGAGAGCCAGACTCCACTGCCTTTGTTTTCCTAGCTCATGCAAGTTTCCCACCTCTGACAGGGGGCTTGCTGTCTTTGCCACTTTTCTATCACTCATTTTAGTAGAAAATATTGGAGTTTTCCTTCTCTGACTGGTTTCTGCCTTAAATGGGTTCCGGCTTTCACAGGTTTTACTCTGTTACTGACAGACATATATAGGGCATACACAGTAAGTGGTTTTTCACATAGTAGTGATGTGTTTGTGTGAGGCAGTCACATACCCTAACTATGCCCCATGGCTGCTTACAAAACACATCAGCATGGATTCCACCAACTCAGCCATAGTCTAAGATCTTAGAATTAGCATTTTCCCCTGGCCTAGTAGCATCAGCTTTGGGCCCATGCTCCACCCACTAGCAGGCCCTCACATGTGGTGTTTATGTTATCTTACCTGTTATCATGAAAGGTTTCTGGTTTAGCTAAGGGACTGGCTGAGTCGGGCTTGATTTGCCCCTTCCCACCTGGCACTATAGGAGAGGAACCTTCATGGCCCAGCTCCCTTTGCTAGCTGGGGTGAGAGCCAAAGAGCCAGCACAAAAGACCTGGGAAGTGTAGGCCAGTCCAGGCTGGGTGAGCTATCCAGATATGGGGTGGGAAAACAGCCTCAATAAACTGTCTTCACCCTTTCTGGGGGCGGAACCCAGTACCACCACCACTCCTTTATGCTCCATCCGAGACGTCCTTAGGATGGTGCTAAACGACTTCAACAATATCAACCGTAATGGGAATAGCAGTAGTGCTGCTGCTGGTGATGGCAACAGCTAGTGTTGACGGAGCTATTACTGTCTGCCGGACACGGGGTAAATTTCCAACACAGATTACCCACCTCATTGAATCCTCACAGTACTCCTAGGAGGTACACTATTGACAGGGCCACTTTAGAGATGAGGAAACAGGCCTAGTGAAGTTAAGGTGGCAGCAGTCTGACTCCTGAGCACAGACTCTTAACCCTTCTGCTGGGTTGCCTGACTTTCTGTTTGAGGGAGAGAGATGAAGACATGGAAAGACAAGAACATGCCCAGTGCCTGGACAACTTCCCACTCGCCTACACCACCAAGCTTCTCCAGACCCAGGAGCATGTCTTGTGAAGAGTGTGTTCTTGATGCTCCCCAGCTTTTACCTCATTTGAGGCCCATGTTGTTATTTGCATTTGCAGAGACATTCGCAGATTTGCTTTAGGTCTTGTGGAGCTGTGGTACTGGAGGTTCCAGTCGGGCAGCCGCCTCTGCATTCACTGCCCTTCACCACACGTCCACTTGCCTTCTAAATGAACACAGTTGAACACCCTCACAGACACTAAATTTGTATTTCTTAGCCTCCCCTTCCAAAATGGATACGCTAATTTTTTTCAGTAGTAGGAATCATCAGGAACACATTTTAAAATGTTTTTATTTTCTGTTCTGCATACTACCAAAAATAAATCATCAATCAAAGCCACAGGATTAAAAACCCAACAAGTGTGCAGCCATGTAAATTAGGAAAAGTTCAGAACGACTTTACAGTAATCCAAAAGAAACAAAGTGTTGACTGGGGTCTTATTTTTGTGGAAGATTAAAATAGGACTGTATTTCAGGCTCCCTATCTGCTTTTCATCAGAGGTTACATCACCATGACTACTAGTCGGTTTAGAGTCCGTGAGTGCTGACGCCCTTCCTGATTCTGAAATGGTACCCACCATGTGTGCCGTGGGTCTGTGCTGTACTTCACATTTCTAAAAGCCCAGTGCACAACACCTCTGTGTCTTACTGCCCATCTCCCTTGAACAAAATGCTCAAGTGATATTGTGTCTTCAGCTTTTTTAAGTCTTGCTTTATTTAATCATAGAAGTAAATACAAGGGAGCTTCCAAAAGTACATGGGAAGAAATGAAATGGAAAGATAATGGGATTTTTTTCCCACGAATTTTTTGAAGCCCTCTCGTAGAGGCGGAGGGTAGATTCCAGTCGCAATTCGAAAGGAGAGGCCAGAGCAAACTCAAAGCAAACTCGTAAGGTTCTCTCAAGAATCATGTGAACAGGGGATCTGTGGAACTGTGGGTGGGATCTGTGGATGGAGGTGGAGGAGTGGAGGTTTCCAGAAAGAAGAAATTAATGTGGAGCATTTCTTAGGTTCATGCTGAGTTTAAAAGAAAAAACAGAAAACAGTATCTAGAGCCCAGAATATGCAGTTAAATTAAGTTGTTAAAGTATCTTAAAAATGGCTAAAATTAGTGATAAAAACCCATTGTGTGGTGGAATTGTTGACTGCCTATTGGGGGGGGTGGGGAGGGCGTGGGGGACAGTCAGAAACTTGTGGTATTTAAGGATTATTCACTCACTCCTAAGAAACCCACCCACCTGCATTTTGAATTTGGATCTCAGCCAAAGGGGTGGGACAAGACCATGACAGACTTTGGGGGTTTTGTTGTTTTATTTTGCTAATTAAGTACTCAGTGGATATTTCCAATACCAAATATATGATCAGAACCGAGGACCCCACCACCCTCTGCTAATCACCTAAAGATGATTTTCCAGAGATTGCAAATCTTGGAGAAATGCCTGTATGTATTTTGAGAGGGAAGCTTCCCAGAACCTGCTGGCTCCTTACTGGGCTTCTTCAATAGTTAGCATTTCTGACCAGGCTGTTGGCTTTTTTCTTTTTTGGCTTTCACAAACAAAAAATGTATTCTGTCAGAGTTTAGGAGACTAGAAGTCCAGAATCCGAGGACCAGCTTTGAGGAAAGTTTCTTGACTCCTTCCGGCATTTGTAGGCCCAGCATTCCTTGATGATCTCCAAGTGTCTTGACATCAGTCCTTCTCTGGATCTAGTTTTGCGTGCAGGGACCCCCAGGTCCAAAGGATGCATTCCACCCCCGGCTCTTCTTTCTTGGTGGTAGTAGACACCCACCCCCGAGTTTTTCTTCATACTTATACTTTGGGGATTGGGATGGGTAACAAAAACATGTGCTTCTCTGCGGGTAAGATTTCTTTGAAGGACCTGTGAGTTGTCAATAAACAAAAAAAAAAAACAAACCCACTGCCTCAACTCGTAGCTACTCAATTGGACAGAACAGAATTGTCCCTCACGGTTCTCAAGGCTGCCAATCTTTAAGGAAGCAGACTGCCTCATCTGTCTTCCATTAGCAGGCCAGTGCTTAACTCACTGTACCACCAGGGCTCCTTGAGTTCCCTGTGGAACATTATATATTTTCATACTTAATGACTCCGTAATTCCTCTTTGAATAATCAGAAATGCAAGCAAAGGTAATATGTGGGTATTTTCCACAAGAATATTGTCCGCAAAAAATAATAGCAAACGTTGAGACCATTTCAATTTACAGTGACGTCTAGTACATCCCTGTGATGGGCTTTTATTATGCAGTTACTGAAGCCGGTCAGTAATGTGAGGAAATCTTCAGAATCTAATGTGGAGTGGAAAACAGGAGCTACTTAACTATTCAAAGCTGATTCCAATTGTACTTGTAGAACTATTGCTATTGTTGTGAAGTGCCTTCGAATTGGTTCCAACCTCTAGTGACCCTGTATAGGGTTTCTGAGGAGCAGCTGGTGAGCTTGAACCACAAACTTTGCAGTTCAAATGGCTTTGCAGTCTGACACATTAGCCCACATCACCACACCAGGACTCCGAACTATAGATAACACTAACTGGGCTTCTCTCTCTTAGTGATGGGGTTGTAGTGGTTTTGTTTCCTTTCTGGTATTGTTTTTTTCCAAATGTCTACAGTTAAGGAATATTTCTTTCATAATCAAAAAGGCTTGATGGAAAGATCACATTTTTTGAGTGAGCTCTGATCTTTTGAGTTTCAAATTCCAGGAGAGTAGGCAGCATGCCGATTTTGGTCACCATTGTATCCTCAGCACTATGCCAGGCATTTCCTAAATAGATGTTCAGTAAGTAGTTGTTGAATACAGTGTTGCCATTTCTCAAGTTCCTTTTTTCTTCTTCTTTCCAGGTGATGTACTCTATGAACTCCTTCAGCATATTCTGAAGCAGAGGAAACCTCGGATTCTCTTTTCACCATTCTTCCACCCTGGAAACTCTATACACACACAGCCAGAAGTCATCCTGCACCAGAACCATGAGGAAGGTACCTGAGGAGGCTTCTGTTTTCTTGCCTGCCATTTACACAAATCCAAGAGGTTGAATTGCTAACTTAATAAGTTGTTATTATTCATGTAATTCATGTTTCATTAAGCAAACATTTACTGAGTACTCACCATATATAGAAGGCACTTGGGGGGGGGGGGGGGGAGGCCAAAATGAATAAGATATACTACTCCCCATTCTCTGAAACTCATAATCTAAGTGAAGACTTGATATAGATAAACACCTAAGTCTATATTGTTGCTACGTCAAGTCTGTTCCAACTCATAGTGACTCTGTATAGCATTTCCAAAGACCAGCTGGTGGGTTTGTGCTGTCAACGTTATGGTTCACAGTCCAGTGCTGATCCTACCGCACCGCACCAGGAGTCCACGCAAGTATAGAAGCATAATGAATTAGGGCACCACAGAGAGGCAGCGGAAGTTGAGGCTGTAACCCAGTACAGGGAATAGGATCAGCTTCATAAAAGAGGTGGTTCTGGAGGGTTCCTTGAGGTCCAGTAATTGTTTGATAAGCCTAATACCCCAACTTTTATTATGAAAGATTTTAAATACGCAGAGTGCTGGATTGCAACAGAGTTCCCTTCCTAAATCTGCCTTTAAGTTAAATTTCCACATAAGTCAAAATAGTTGGTCAAGGTTCATATTTGTTAGTCAAATGTTTGGCTTAGTACATAGTGTACCTTTCTTTGCATGTTGTTGTTGTTTTTGTTAAGTTCTGTTGGTTGGTTCTGACTCATAGCAACCCTATATAGGAATTCCAAGAAGCAGCTGGTGAGTTTGATCTGCCAACCGTGCTGTTCAAACTGATCTTGTGGTCTAGTGCTTATCATGTAACACCACATCAGGACTCCTTTTTATGTATATATGTTGTTGTTGTTAAGGGCCATCGAGCTGATTCTGACTCATAACAATCATAACAACCCTGTACAAGGTTTCTGAGGACCAGCTGGTGGGTTTGAACCACTGACCTTGTGGTTCACAGTCCAGTGTGTATCCTACAGTGCCACACCGGGATTCCTTTCTATGCATGTTGCTATTAAGTGCTTTCGAGTCAGTTCCAACTCATAGCAACCCTTTATAGGATTTCCGAGATACAGCTGGTGAATTTGAACTGCCGACCTTGCAGTTCAAATCCACCTTTTGGTCCAGTGCATTATTCCACAGTACTACAACTAATAAACGAAGCACTTCCAGGTACACTAAAATATCTTTAACATAATGATACAGTTTTGTTGTTGTTAAGTGCCATCGAGTTGGTTTTGAATCGTAGTGACCCTGTACAGGGTTTCTGAGGGATGGGTAGTAATAATAATGTCTTGATGTGTATCACAAGACATTTTGTATTTTGCATTACAAACCACTGGATGTATTACAAACCACTGGATGTACCTCAGATTTTTAACACTATAGCCTTTACAGGGATTGGTTTGTGTTCCAGTGATAGGTGTAAGTTGCCATTGAGCCTATTCCAAGTAATGGCGACCCCCTGTATACACAGTAGACCTGCTCCATAGAGTTTTCACAACTGTGACCTTTCAGATGCAGATTGTCAGGGAAAGTTCTGGTGATGCTGTGGTTAGAGTACTCAACTGTTAACCAAAAGTTCCAGCCACCTTGCAAGACAAACATGTGACAATCTGCTTCTGTAAGGATTCAAGCCCTGGAAACCCTATGGGGATGTTCTACTGTGTCCTGTAGAGTCGCTATAAGTCAGAATCAGTTAAATGGCACTGGCTTTAGTTTTGGTTTTGGACTTCCAAGGCATGTCTAAGTTGGTTAAAACCACAAACCTTTCTGCTAATAGTCAAGCTTCTAGTCGTTTGCTGCACTCAGAGACTCCCCAAAAGGAGAACGCTAATTGTTAATTGTGGTTCTGGTGTGATACTATAGGATAAACACTAGACTATTAACCACAAGGTCAGCAGTTCAAACCCACCAGCGCTCCTTGAAAACCCTTCTTAGGGTCACTATGAGTTGGATCCAACTTGACAGCATTTAACAATGTTGTTGTTATTAAGTGCTGTCAAGTCAGTTCCGACTCATAGCGACCCTGTACAGGGTTTCCGAGGCTGTAAATCTTTACGGAAGCAGAAAGCCTCATCTGTCTCCCGCGGAACAGCTGGTAGTTTCAAACTGCTGACCTTTCGGTTCACAGCCCGATTCATAACCACTACGCTACCAGAGCTCCTTAACAATAGCAAATGTTAATTATTTATGGGTGGTACCTGTGAATTCATATACTCACTCCAATTAAAGAGAATAAAATAGGCAGAATACTCCAAGCCCTGTGAATTCTGTGTTAAGTCAGGATTTCTACTTCGTGCCCCAAAGGAGGTTGACTACAGTGTTCTTGGTATCAGTGCGGATTTCAAATATCCCAGTTCAGCCCTTACTGCTCTTGTTGTTATTCACAATACTCAAAAAATAACTACTCAAAAACAGAACAAAAGACCAGGATTAAATTGTGGCCCTGGATGTAGTTCCATGTCTGGATACAGAAATTGGGTATAAAACTCTTGCTCAGTGAGCATCTGAGGATATAGTAGTATTCTGTGATGAGCCTTGCCTTCTGAGGATCGTTACTGCATCTTCCTGGCAGAGTTGGCTAGACCATGGACTCAGGGACATGCAATAGATACTCTGTACTTTTTCACACACGTGTTTCCTGAGGATCAGATTGCCCAGAGCTAAAGCTCAGATCCCCTGGGGTATTTCCTTAAATTGATTGATCATCCCCAAGAAAGGGGCTAATATTTTCGTTTAGTTGTTGGCAAATTAAAAAATGAGAAGGCTTTCGTTTTCTTAATTATCACTTCACAAAAGAGAGCCTGACATCTCCTCTTTGTGCCAAGTGTTTCACAGCAGGTACCCTGACTTCCGTGATGGAGAATAAAGGAGCATTTCTTGCAAGCTCTCTGCCTGCTTCTCTCATTCTTTCTTCCCCTAGCTTCACCCTTGCTAAATTTAGCAGCTGTCCCCCACCCCCACCTCGATTTCTACATTCTTTAGCTCTTCCTGCCATGTACATTTCCGGCTTGCATAATAGCCAACAGCCACTCCAAAGAAGAGGAGGTGGGTTTACTGAAGCTTGACATGAAGGCAAGAATTGTATTACCTAGCCTGGCTCCTCTGATACAAAGGGTGTATGATGGTCGGTTTTTTTCACCCTCTACTTTCTCTCATTATTATTATTTATTTTGTTTGGAATTTCTATTCCCCTTTTTATTCCTAATCGGAGGTTCGCCCGGCTCAACTCATCACAAATCCTCCCTCCTTTCCCCTTGGCCTGATTTGACTCATAAGTAGTAGGTGTGTTGTTATTCTCATTTGCAGGAGCTCATCAATAGAGAGAGCTGGCTTATGCTCAATGCTACTCTCAAACCCAGTAAATACAGATGTGCCGCCGCATAGGCTGTAATGAGCCGAGCGCTCAAGTGCTATCACGTGGGTGGCAGTAAGCTCAGTAGGTAAGAAAATGGAGCTAATGAGGCCAAGGTCAAGGGCTTCATTGCCCTGTGGACCAGTTAGCAGTGCTTCAGTCCCAGCTCTTGAAAGTAGTGTGTTCTCAGAAACCATTCCTTACAGCGAGATCTCAGAGCATGTGCCCTGTTGCCTGGTCTGTTCAAACACAGTGGTGCTCTCAGATAAACAAGAGAGTGCAGCAAGGGAAGTATAGCCTTTTATCCAGAAAACAAACAAGCAAACACCAAAGGTCATTATTATTTCCAACTAATAGCTTGTCCTTAGGGCAGAACAGATGCCCCACTGGGTTTCCAAGGCTATGAATCTTTATGGAAGCAGACTGTCACATCCTTCTCCCACAGAGTACTGGTAGGTTCAAAACACTGACCTCTCTTGCATAGCAGCAGAGCACTTAACCACTGTGCCACCAGAGTTCCTTGTGGCGCTGTGGGCTAATGCGTCAGACTGCAAAGTCGTTGAACTGCAAGGTCCGTGGTTGGATGGGTCGCTATGGGTTGGAATTGACTTGATGGCACTTAACAACTACAACATCAAAGAAGAGGAGAATTCCTGCATGGTTCAAATGCTTAAGACTGCCGGTAACTTGAAGATTCAAGTTCACCCAGAGGTACCTGAGAGGAAAGTCTTAATGATCTATTTCTAAAAAATCAGCCATTGAAAACTCTGTGCGCACAATTCTACTCAGACATACATGGGTTACTATGAGTTAATGGATGCTGGTTTCATTTTTGGTATCAAAGGAGAAGAGCTGTAAAATGCATCTGTGAAGTGAAGAGGCTGCCTACCTCCAGACTCTCGGATATAAGATGCCATTGGTGGCCAAGGGACCAAGCAGCGACATGAAGGGATCTGTACACATTCTATACATCCATCCACCACCACCTAGTGGTGGTGGTTATGTGCCGTGGAATCAATCGGTTCCAACTCATAGTGAGCCTGTATAGGGTTTCCAAGACTTTAAATGTTTATAGGAACAGAAAGCCTCATCTTTCTTCCAAGAATCAAGTGGTAGATTTGAACTGCTGACCTGTGGTTAGGAGCTTAGCTCGTAATCCACTATGCTAACAGAGAGGCTTTTCCTTCTTCTCCATTATTGTTGTTAAGTGCCATCTAGTCAGTTCCAACCCTTAGCGATCCTGTATAGGGTTTCTGGTGAGCTTGAACTGCCGGCCTTGCTGTTCAAACCAACCTTGCAGTCCAGCACATTTACCCACAGTGCAACACCAGTGATACGGTGTCATGTAAGAGTATGTTGGCTTCCAGACTACTTATATTGCCAGTGACTTATTCCTGAAGCCCCGTGGTTAGAACACAGTGAAAAAACTACTGGTCCAGATGGTCATCTGTATGTTGCCCTTCAGCTCTAAGAATCTAGAACAGCACCAAGTGGGCTTTTAAACTTCTGGGTCACCAGTTCAAGTCAGGGTCACAACTGCCTGCAGCTATCTGTGCTAATGCAGGATGGTCATCAAGGATGAATGCTTCTGAGATTTTTCTG